CCACTGTCCCATACAATAAAGGTGACAAACTCCTAAAAATGTAATATAAAAATGTATATACTGAATCTCTAGAGTTCTACAAAATTGGATAGTTTTATAAAATTGTGTAGCCAGAGTTGTTTAGAGTAGATATCTACATAGTTGTATAAAATGAAAACATCAACCTGCTGTCTTGACACGCTCCTCACATCATTCTTTAAAACAGTTTAACTGTTTAGAAATGGATCTTCTAAAAGTGGTAGATGCTTCACTTCTCTCACAGATTTTTCCAAACCCCTCTTGAAAAGAGCGACCTGGATAACACTCTATTGAGCAATTACAGGCCAATCTCAAATCTCTCTTTCATTGGAAAAATCATTGAAAAGGTTGTTTTTAACCAGGTTAACAAGTTCTTAAGCTTCAAGGGATGTTTAGACAGTTTTCAATCTGGTTTCAGATCACATCACAGTAGAGCGCTCTTAAAAAGATAATCAATGATATACTCCTTAATACAGATTCAGACAAACTAACAGTGCTGGTATTGCTTGACCTCAATGCTGCATTTGACACAGTCGATCACAGCATACTTCTGGATAGGATGGAAAACTGGACTGGGCTGTCTGGGACAGTCCTCAAATGGTTCAGATCTTACCTTGAAGGGAGAGGTTACTATGTCAGTAAAGGTGACCATAGCTCGTTTGGACACCCATGACAAGTGGAGTCCCACAAGGCTCAATTCTGGCACCTCTCCTGTTCAACCTTTATATGCTCCCTCTGAGTCAAATAATAAGAACCAAATTTCCTACCACAGCTATGCTGATGACACTCAGATCTATATAGCCTTACTGCCTAATGACTACAGCCCTATTGCATGTGTTTTATGTGTCAACTTTCTTTAGTTAAACAAAGAGAAAGCTGAAGTGATAGCATTTGGGAGCAGAGATGAGGTTCTCAGGATGAATGCGTACCTTGACTCTAAGGGTCAAACAACAACAAATAAGGTCAAGAATTTTAGTGTGACTCTGGAGTAAGATCTAAGTTTCAGTAGTCATGTCAAAACAGTTAGCAAATCAGCATACTATCATCTCAAAAACATTGAAAGAATTAGATGCTTTGTTTCCAGTGAAGACTCATGCGTTTGTCAGCAGCAGAGTGGATAACTGTAATGGCCTCCTCACTGGCCTTCCCAAAAAGACAGTCAGACAGTTGCAGCTCATCCAGAACGCTGCGGTCAGGATTCTGACCAGAACCAGGAAATCAGGGCACATCACACCTGTTCTCTGGTCTTTACACTTGCTCCCAGTTAAATTCAGAATAGATTTTAAGTAATATTACTTGTCTATAAAACACTAAATGGCCTAGGACCTTAAAACATTACAGATATGCTCACTGAATACAAAACTAACAGATCACTCAGATCTTTAGGATCATATAAACAAAAAATTCCAAGAGTTCAGTCAAAGCGGGGAGAATCTGCTTTCAGCTACTGCGCCCCCCGCTTATGAAATCAGCTTCCAGAAATGATCAGATGTGTTCCGAAATATGGCATGTTCAAATCAAGACTGAAAACACATCTGTTTAGCTATGTCTTTACTGAATGAGCACTGTGCAACAGCCCACAGATCGCACTATTGTCTTTTCTTTTTCATTCTTTTATAACCTGTTTTACACATTTTAATCTGTTTTTAATCATTGTTATTATTTGTTTTTATTTTCTTATACTTGTTTTATTCCTGTTTATGTAAAGAACTTTGAATTGCCACTGTGTATGAAATGTGCTATATAAATAAACTTGCCTTGCCTTGTCTAAAATGGGCTTGAGGTCTGTAGAGTTATTTAGAGCATGCTTGAGTTATATAGAGTTCAAATCAGTGGAGTAAATAGAATAGAGTTAAACGAACAATATAAAATACATTAGTAAAGAAAAAAAGGAAGTAGAGCTGTATAAAACTACACACAATGCAATGGAGCAAAGCAAGGATGGAGTAGCTGAGTGAATTAGCTTATCGTAGCGCAGAAGAGACTGGATAAAACAGAGGAAAGTAGAGTTGGGTACAGCATTGTTTTCCCCAAAGGGAAGGAAAATGCAGTATTTTATCCGCATAAATGGTGCAATGAAACACTGTAGTAAATGAAAAAAAGAAATGTTGAGTCTCATTCTGACTGCTCTGTCAGAAGCACATCCAGCACTGGCTCACACATAAACAAGTATCAAGCAAGCATCCAAGTTGGAGAAGCTTCTCTTCTGTCTCCATCCGATAATCCCTCGCTTTAAAGCACTCTGTGCATCCCTAAACGTGTGCTAACTGATTCTCCATGCTTATTTCACTGTCGCATTAGACTCTGCCTGTGTGTGTTTCCTTTGTGCTGCCCTGTCGCTTCTAAAATTTCCACATTGTTCCCCCTCCGGTCTGTGGGCATCAATACGTGTCTGTTTTCAGACCCACACTATTGGTCCCCACCTGCTGCTTTCCTCCTAATAAATATCAAAAGATGGTTGTCTGGGTTTAGGGACAGTTTGACAACAAAATGTATTTCTTTTTTTATAACTGCTCGAGAATATGGTAATATCGTTTGGTTGGGTTTTCTGACAGATTCTGTAGTGCTTACAGGATATCTTGCACATTCTTTTTCTCTTTAGAAAAGCATTTATCAGCATAATGCAGTTTTGTCTTTAATTTTCACCTGTATGTATTGTCATTCCTTATTTTTGTTAACACTATCCACCTAGCTTTGTGCAATAGTGCTGCTAAATACACTTCATTGAACTTCACACGTGCTGCAAATCTTCACAACGCAGACTTTTTTTTTTAACCTAAACTATGTTTTTAGTGGTTATCAACAATGATAATAGCAGAATTCCTCAACATTGACTTAGTTCACTGTGTATAGCAGGGGTCACCAATCTTGGTCCTGGAGGGTCCCTGCAGGTTTTAGCTCCAACTTGCTTCAACACACCTGCCTGGATGTTTCAAGTATACCTAGTAAGACCTTGATTAGCTGGTTCAGGTGTGTTTGATTAGGGTTGGAGCTAAAATCTGCAGGACATCAGCCCTCCAGGAACAAGTTTGGTGACCACTGGTGTATAGCATGGTTACAAAAAATATGAAAAAAAAATTTTTTTTTTTTACAAATTATATATATGTAGACACAAACAAACACACATACTTGAATATATGCATACAGGAACCTGTAAATAAGTATAAAAGGGAGAAAAAAATGATATACATACTATCAGAAAAGTACATAAATGAAAAAAGTGTCTAATAAAATTATTGTGAAACAGATCAAACAAAAATAAAAGATAGTTTGTTGTCACCTACTGTATATTTCTTAAAGACATCCTAATAATTTCTCCTGTGTAGTTAAATTAAATCACGTAAGTTTAAATAATGGAGATCAAATTGTCATGTATTTAGTTACAATAAAGAATTGTTGAAATCCTTGCTCTGTTATGCATGGCAGTGGACTGTTCTAGTCGAACAATGTCTATAAAATAGTATAACCATTGCTGAATTGACAGGACATTAGGAGGAAACCAGAAACTAATGATTTTTTTTACATTTTTATTTATTTATTTTTTACAGCTGTTAATCCTGAGAAAAAAGTTTGTTTTTGATTTAAAGCCAGGGCTATTGAAGAATCATCATTCAATAGGAAAAGGCAAGGTTCTGGATAAATGGTTATTTGCAAAATTTGCGACAAGATGGTTAACAAAAGACGTTAAACCAAAAGAGACGTTAACCCAAAAATTGTATATTGGGAGACATTTCCAGAAAGCATGAAAAAATGCTACCCATCACCCCAGTATTCATTTTACACAAACAGGTGAAGACAATGCAATCACATTTTTTTTTTTAAATGTGCTGCATTTTTTTTCACAAGACAATTTATTGTTATTACAATTCAACATTTATGAAAACAGGCTGCCTTTTCAAATATTTCAACACACACAGAACACAACGGAAATGTTTCAAGGTAACCCTAAAACGTGATGTACCCGGCTATTTAGGTTACGGTTATTTAGGCTAATAAATACTTAAGACAAGAGAATTGGTATATTGAAATAAACCAATAAAAAAACTTGTCTTTCAAAGATCACCTACAACTTCACTGAGCAATAGTCACAGCACAGTGGCATCCATCACAATTTTGTATTTCATTGTGTTTTTACAACCATTGTGAGAAAATGCAGAGCGTTTTTGTAAATAGTTTTTTTTTTTTGTAGGAAAATGCAGTGCGTTAGTTAAATGTGTTTGCGTTGTGAATATTTGCAGTACATGTGGTTTTAAACAAATGAAGATCTTTTCTCAATTTGTTGGCGCTTTTTGTAGTTGCATTTACACCACGTCCTGACATTGGCTAAGAAGTTAAATTGCAGCACATTAAACTCTCGGCTACAGTAACACATAGACATCACCTTTATACTAGTCAACTGCAGGTTAACTGTTTATATATAAGCATAATTAAGCTTTAAGTAATTATTTAATAGTTAATTAAAGTAACTGATAAATGTATAGTAACTAATAACTAAGACTTCACTGATTTTATAGTAATGCAATGATGTGCACCTTTTGTAAAGCTGCTTTGAAACATCAATTATTGTAAAAAGTGCTATTCAAATAATTTTGAATTGAATAGAATTTTAATTAAAGTCTGTATGTTGACACAATTTAAAATCTTAATTTTGCTAGTGCACAATGTTATTGTTTAGTTAAAATAATCCGTTCAATTAAATAAAAATCATATTCTGAGCATTTGTTCCTGGATTTGTAGTGGAAAACTTCTCTGATGCCAGTTTGACAGCTTCAAGAACAATATTTCTAGCCACATCTCTTTTACCATCAATTTGCTATGAGGGAATGATGCGCTAAAATATAGCCATTGCCCCCACCTAATATTCCATTTCAGGTGGCAGTACATTAAGATAATTAAAAAAAAAGTCTCAGCAACTTCCAGTTCACAAATAGAGGTGGACTTTCATACAGCTTTAAACATCTACCACTGTTTGTTTTTTCCAGGTGAAAGTAGGCACTGAAGTGACCACAGGAACTGGACCCAACAAGAAAGTGGCCAAGCGTAATGCAGCTGAAGCCATGCTGCTTCAACTGGGATACAAGGCATCGACTCCATTACAGAACACTCCGGAAAAGGTCAATTTTAATCATTGCAGTTAAAGCTACTTTGAAACTTTTAAACCACTACTGCTAAGGAATATTACGTTATAAACTACTAGTAATTTAAATTAGTGAAGTACTTGGCAACACTACAGAACCCATGAAAGATTTTTAAAGCAATTCTTTATTTAAAATATAAACAATTTCCTGTTAACTTCAGGCTATCCAAGAATTTGTTTTTGTTTTTTGTTTTTTTCTGTAAGAACATTAAATCCCCTGTAATGCATAAAATTCTGGTCATGGGCTGCTGGAAATTTGAGAGTTAAAAAACAACACAGTCTGAACAAGTAGGTGCAGTAGGTGATTGTCTACAGAAACATTTTTTAGTTTTACTGGTTGAAAGTCTCTTCACATTCCAATAGTAATGATTAAAGTATATGATCTAAATGTATTTATATGCATTTTTATATACTGGATGAGGCATTAGACTAAAAATTGTTCGGTAACACTTTATTTTGATGTTCCATTTGAGTATTAGTAGACTGTATGCTTAATATCTGTTGATACTGCTCCTTCAACAGTTATTTAACTGATTATAAGGCACCTTGCAAGAACATGTCAACTTACACTAACCCTAACCCCAACCTAACAGTCTACTTATAATGAAAATTAGTTGGCATATAGATGCAATGTAACTTAAATTCCACAGCGACACCATGGCTGAAGTATTTCTTTAAGACAGGTTGCTACACAACTGAAAACGTGCTAGACATAAAACAAAGTTTCGTTGTGAATTGTAGTTTTTTAAAGTACTTTAAAGTTTTGTAACTGTCAAATGACATGATCTAGTGGGTTGTTTAAGGTCATCTTTAATGTGCATGTTTGTGATTTCAGGAGGCACGGTTTTGGGCGGCAGGGGAGGGATGGTGTTTTCAAAGATATGCTAATGGAGAGCACTTTCACAGATCACTTACTGCACTTTTAATACAAAATGCAATATGTCTTTAAATATAGCCAGTTCATTTACGTCATTTAACTATTCATGTCATAACCAAGGCATTTTTCACAATCGATAACACCTTTTAGATAAATTTTAAATATGCAAAAATGTATTTAATATAAATAATATATACATAATGCATAACGAAACTTGTAAATAAGGATAAAAGGGAGAAAAAAACGATACATAATGTCAGAGAAGTACATAAATGGAAAAAAGTGTCTAATAAAATTATTTTAAAACAAAAAGAAAAGATAATTTGTTGTCACTTACTGTATATCTTAATCCTTTCTCATGCGTCATTAAATTAAATCACTTACGTTTAAAAAATGGAGATCAAAGTGTCATGTATTTGGATCAAATAAAGAAATGTTGAAATCTTTGCTCTATTAATTAAGGCAGTGGACTGTTCCAGTCAAACAATGTCTATAAAGAAGTATAACCATTGCTGAATTGACAGGAGATTAGGAGGGAACCAGGAACTGATGATTATTATTTTTTTTTTTGTAGCTGTTAATCCTGAGTAAAAAGTTTGTTTTTGATTTAAAGTCAGGGTTACTGAAGATTCTTTATTCAATAGGAAAAGGCAAGATTCAGGATAAATAGTTTTTTCCAAAATTTGCGACAGGATGGTTAACCCAGAGACGTTTAACCAAAAGAGACGTTAGAAAAAAATTTGTAGATTGGGAGACATTCCGAGAAAGCGCGAAAAAAGCTACCCATCACCCCAGTATTACATTTTACACAAACATATTTACATCATTTATGTCAATAAATGATTTAATAAATTTACAATGAAATAAAATGAAATATATTTTTTTATTTTGCTGTTAAAATATGAAAATTATTGTAATGATGACCACAATTTATTTATTATTTTTGATCATCCAAATACTAAAAAACTTAAATGTATCATGTTTCTCTTTTTACTGTAATTTTCTTTATTTTGTTTTTAATGAAATTTATTATTATTATTATTTATTATTATTATTATTATTATTATTTACTTTTTTCTTGCTTTGTTAAAAACTGTCCCAATAATTTTTTTATTAATCAGTTAGTTATATAATAATAATTTATAAAAAAAAAAAAAATATATATATATATATATATATATATATATATATATATATATATATATACAAAATAAAATGATTATAATTATTCTTGTCATTTATTTCATTATCAAAAACATTACGAAAATGATGACAGATTAAATAGTTGTTTTTATAATTGCCTTGAAATATTTTTGTCTTTTTTTTTATGAGCTGATTTTTCTACCACATTTAAGATACTTTTAGTATCTTAATTATCGCATTGTGTCAGCACATTCAGTATGAACAGCGTAGCAGGATATCAATGAGAGCGTATGTGGATGTATAGGTTTGCTTCTTCCTGTTTCGGTTCGCACAACCTTAATCTTTAAATCTCCCATCTACTTAGTCTTTGCAAGTTGTTGAGGCTTATGCTGTGATGTCTCAATTTTGTCACGAATCACCCTTTCTAGTGCACAAAAAAAGCGACTTGTCTGACATGCATGAAAAGGGGTTTGCTAAATCGGCCCTCTTTCTCTCCCTTTTCTCCATTTCTTCCCACTCCTCTATTATCTCAACATTGGCCACAGATGGACAACAAAGGCTGGAATGGACAAAGGGCTGCTTTTCCTGAAACAACGAGCAACAGTAAGTGTTTTTCTCTCTGTCTGTGTTCCCCAGTGTAGGTGATGCCGGGCCGTTTAATCTATCTGACTGATTAATAAGGAACTGAGTCTCGCTTCTATGCAGAGCCTCTGAATTCCTGCTATTCATGCAGACTTATGTGCTTTCCCAGGGGGTCTGTGAGACCACTGTATTACACACACACACACACATTAACCACCCAAACAGTTTTTTCAGGATACAACCAGGGTCTTCTAGACACGTTTGCAGAAGCATATCCATTTTCTTCAAGAATGGGGCTGATTTTTTTTTTCTTTCTTTTTTTTTTTTTGTGGTGTGCTCAGCTGGAGGATCTGTAGATCTCATTCAAGGCTGATGTGGTGAGAAATCTGGTCCTCCCTTTGAAATTGAAAATTATTGTCTGAAGCCAAAAAATTCTGCATGCAATTGACCTAAAACTAAAATAAAAAAGTTTTTTCGTAAAAAAGTTCCTATTATGGGTTCACAGCTCTAATGATTCCTACTTGTCTTCCTTTGTGATGAGGAGTAGGCAGAATCTGATATGTTGTGGGGAAAAAAAAAGAAGAATGTGTTTATCGCATACTGGATTCAAAACACCACTAACGCTGCTGTTAGTTGCGCTCTTTAGTTATGTTGTCTCTGTCAATCAAACGTTGATGGACGGGAATTGCTCAACTAGCTTATTCCAATGAGGTGCACTACTTGCACTTAGCCTAAATAGACCGTCCAAAAAATCTGCACTTTTTCCCCCATTGTAAGGGCCCAAGTGCGCACAGGCCCCTGGTCCATGCCCATAATGCCCATTGGTTAATTCATCCTTTATTCAAGGCAACTGTGCCTAGTGTGTACATGCCCTAAAATGTACAAAAAATATACAGAAAAAGACGCTACTCCAGTTACAGCTTTTGTACCGGAGAATGTATGCATTTACAAGTGCCATTAATGTGATTAAGTAAATATTTAAATATTGTAATTTATTAGAATTGAATAAAAAACGTATTATTATCCTTTTTTAATTGCTTATGAAGTGTATTACATTGATACTTGATGAAGACCGATTTCTCACGATATAGAGCCAGGTTTCTACTAACTTTAATAGATGTGGGATGATGCAACTGTCTGTTACTTGACTACAAACAAACATCGCACATCACTGTCTTTGTTTATGAGCTTTGAGAATACATTTCAGCATCCAAAACTCATTGGAATCACTGCCTTATGTAATCACTAGTCACTTTTGATGCGGTTAGGAGTTGTGTAATGAATAAAAATCATAGCAGTCAATTCACACATATGATATTTGTAAACAAAATCATTTTGGACAGATGACGAAAACAGAGAGAATTGAGAACTACACAGGCTGTCTGTCATTTGAACATCTCTGTAAACAGCTTCGTGATTAGACTGACAGTGATCTAGTTTTGTTTTGCTTTAGTCTTGCCAGACTGAGTTGTTGTTTTTTTGTTGTTTTTTTGTACAAGCAGACATTATTACACCTCAGCCTCTGGCATTATTCAGTTTTTCCATACCAGAGCTGTGGAAATGTGTGGATCTGGAACTCGATCACACTTGGGTTGAGAATTATATTAAAGTGCATTATAGTGAATAGTATTTTTTTGTCATATTATGTCTCTTTATGAAAAGATAAGCATATTTTTTAAAATAAGTAATTTTTGTCCCCAGCATGTGCTTGTGAAATTTAAGTTTAAGTTATCCCGCAGATCATTTAATGTACCATTAGTCCATTCACACAACACATTTCCCTCTATTTGGTTGTGAGCAACAACAGAAGAAAAAAGTATTCTTGTGCATGTATCTTTAAATGCAAATGAGCTTCTGAGTTTCAGAATAAGGCAAAACATTTATGCACTAATCTTACAGAAACAACAAAACAAGCTTATTCTCACAGAGTCTAGGTGACCATAAGCAGATTAGAGCCTTCTAGACTGAACCAGGACATTTCTGAATGGTCAGTGTATTTATGCATGTAGTTGATTAAACTCCATTAGCATGTTCTGGCTTTTGCAAACAAAGTTAACACTATGGGCTCTATTTTGACGGTCCATGCGCAGGGCGCAAAACGCAGGGCACAAACGCTTTCAGGGCATGTCAGAATGCATTTTTGCTAATTTAAGGACGGGAAAATCCGCTTTGCGCCATGGCGGATGGTCTAAAAGGGTTGAGTTTATTTTCTTAATGAGTTATAGGTGTGTTTTGATAATAAACCAATTAGAGCCTCATCTCCCATTCCCTTTAAAGAGCCCATATTATGGGTTTTTGAAAATTCCCCTCCATGTAGTGTGTAACACAGCTCTAAGTGAAGTGAAGTATCCAGCTAAGGCTTAAATCTGTAAGAATACAGTGTTTAAAACTGTTGATTCATCTATAAAAGAGTCGACTCATAGTGCTTCAAACGAGTCGCCTTGATCACGATTCATTAGGTGTTTCGCCATGACGTACGAACGAAACCAAGTTATTCACGTGCACGCGCAAACCCGGGAGATTTCAAACCTGCGGCCCCGCCCTCTGACGCAGAAACCCAGACACACACACACCCACAAACACACACACACACACACAAACATGCCGGTTGATTGAAGTCACACTGCAGATGGATATATTGAGTCTCTACCCAAAGATGAAACCTCAGCATTATAACCAAGCAGTTGGAAACTTCTGGAAGCTACATGCTACAAAGAATACTTCATCTGAGTTTGTTAAAGGAAGGATCAGTAAAGAGTAACTGATGGACGTCAGGATGGGTTTCTTCCTCCATTTCTCAAGTGTAAGTACGTGCGGTTAAAGTTGTTGCCTCGTTTACTCTAGCTTGCAAATGTATTTAGTTGTGATTTGTTACTTGTAACCGCGTGTACTGTATCAGGTTAACTGGATATATTATCTTATCGCGTGCAAAGTCACGTTAAAAACGCGACGCGTGCTGTTTGTTTATGGAGCTCCGTGCTAGAGTTCTGCTCCCGCGATTTATTCGGAAATTTATTCCCGCGCCGCAGAAATCTGGCGCGGGGACAGCCGCGGGAATAAATTTCCGAATAAATCGCGGGAGCGGTCGGTAACGGGTTTAATTTGGGACGGGAGCGGGCTGTCTAGCAATATCACGGATATTGCTATGTGAATTAGAAAGAGATAGTCTGCTTGGTATGAGAGAGCGTATGAGAGAGAGAGAGAGAGAGCGAACGAACGAACGAGCTTTGTGCTGTGTGTATGTGTTTATACAGACAGCTTGGCTGTCTGGACTGTATACTGGGTGATTTTTGGTTGTGTTCTCCGCTCTAGCGGGACCGGGCGCGGCGGGCAGAAAACGGAGCGGGTTCTCAGGCTAAAACCTATGAAGGTAATTCAGTTGCGAAACTCGAGAGCTTGCAAATGTAAATGTGAGCACTTGTGATAAGAATATTTGTATGTGTAGGTTGAAATGTACACTTACAGCTCTGATGTGAACAGCTGAAATCCTCGATTTGCACACACACACAACAATCCACACACTTGTGTTTTGAATTGGAAGTTGCAGATTAATAGTTGTGTATTTGTAAAATGTCATTCACAAATACAAAGTGACAGACACACGTGTGCACAGCAAATTTGATTGCATCTCCATTCTACAACCACAGGCCGGCACTCACAACCTCTCAGATTCCTCAGTACAACTACAAATCTCCCGCGCTCTGACTTTTGCAACACATCTCCCGCGATCTCTGTAGCAGAACTCATCTGTGCACTCGCAGATGCAGAGGCGTGAGCAGCGCGGGGCGGGGGAGGGGCGGGGCTGGTGTAAAGCTGTTTCATTGGCTGAAGCCTGACCAATGAACAATGCCAGCAGCCAACAGGACTGAGGTGCAAAATAATCATTTCCCACGATTATTTTATTGTTTAGGGTTTATTTAAACTATTTTCTGAAGAGATTTTTGTTAAAAATCATAAATTCTGTGGAAATGTACATACCAGTAAAAGAGCAGCAAAGCCAGTTTATTGGCTACAGCCAGCCAATGAGATGGGGCGTTTCTGTTTGTCAGCACACAGGGCAGCTCACGTTGTTGGAGGCCTCGAGCAATCAGAGGGTAAGTTATGATTTTTTAATAATTATCTATATGTTCAATACTGTTAGCTAAGCTAAGGACTGTGCTGGGTGCTTCTCTTGTTTGTTTTTTTATATAAGAAACAGTTTTGAGTTATCTAGGAGCTGCTTTCAATCATGTTATATGGTTCTAAAGATACGATTCAACCCACATGAAATAAGTTGTAATAGCATTTATAGTAAACAATATTACGTTTTTGAACCATACTAACTATAATAAACTGTATTATACTGTATATATTGCAGTATCTACAACTTTGTTAATGAATGCAACAGCACACTGTAGTATTAACTAGCATGAACTTTAATAAATTGAAGTATATATATATCTATATATATATATATATATATATATATATATATATATATATATATATATATAGCTTAAATTTGAAAAAATTGAAATATAGCTATCTGTTTAAAACTAAACATTCTAATGCCATTTATTATGCAAATATCAAGTTGAAACAAATCTGTTAAGAACACGCATTTATATGTAAAACCTAATACATTTTAAAGCAGTTTCATTTCTTTCTAATTTATACATCTACATGCATTACATCTGATTTAGGTCCACAACTTGCATCCTTCAACATGATATGTGTGTTCAAAGGAAGAGCGACTAGGTGAGGGAGACAGTGTCCATCGCTCGGCTGAGGGACCACTTTGAGCATCTCATCTGCAGGGTTAAGCAACATAAGCTGAACAGTCATCATCTCTCTCTATTACAGCGAGCATCAACCGCTTTACACAACGGCCTGCTTTCTGACCATTAGTAAAGGCTTGAGCAAAGTATTAAAGAGGAGATAACATTTGATGGGTAATGATGAAGTTGGATTTACCACCTCCATCTCATTATGAACAAGGAAAAACCCTGAAATATTTCAATACAAGTAACTAGACATTTGCG